GGATTCAAGTTGATAATGCGGAATAACATTAAATGGAAGTTTAATATGTATATATTTAAAAAAAAAAAATTATTATTTAATGCAATTTTTAAAAATAAAACAAAAAGAATTATAATTTATGTTATAAGTTACTTAAAAGCAAAGCAAAATATATATGATGCAAAATTTATGAACAATCTGTAATCAACTGATTATTTTTTATATTATAAAAGTGCTTTGCAAAAGTATGAATTCGTTAAGGTAGAAGGATTGATCTTTATAGTTAAATTGATCTACTTTGATACCAGGGAGATACGACATTGAGAAGGGTGCACTGGGTATCCTTTTCATATGACGTCAAGAGAGTTTTATCTCCAACCCTCGTTCATATATCTTCGTGTGATTGATGACTCTTACTTTGCTTCTTTCTTCCGTTGACATTAAAAATTTTCAAGATAATAACAAATAATAAATATTTTATTACTTGTTTATTACTTGTTGTTTGTTAAGCAAACTCAATTAATTGTAAATTCTATGAATTTTTATGAAATCTTTGAGGCTACTATTAAAAATAGTGTGTTTGTCGTGTCAATATATACATGCATATAAAAGACAATATTAAAAAATAACATAAGCTTTGATCATAAATTTTGATTAATATAAATAAAGTTAATAATCATATATTTTTTAATTAACACAAAGATTTTGCAAAATTGTGTTTTAATAAACTCTGTTCTTAACTTCATACACTTGGAATCGAATAAGGAACATGTTAAATCCATAATTCGTGGAAGAATTCACAAAGATTTACAACAAATTTATGCATTTATAATGTACAACGATAAATATTTAGATCTTAGGCTCCTGATATTTAACTAAGTACCACGTGTCATTCGAACTATTTTAAGATGAGGATAACATGGAGGGTAAGAAGTGGCACAGGGGTTGAACATGTGGGCTTCAGAACGAGGAACTTAATGAGAAAAAAGGCCTGCCACGTGACCTTTTCCATCAGAGATGCATGCGACGTAAGAAGGTTCTGTCTAAGTATTCTTAAAGGGGTTAATTCAATTAATTTCGAAAAGGTAGTTTGATTGAGGGTCCGTCTATTATTGTCGTCTGTTTCTTTAATTAGCAATGTATAAGCATGTCAATCTTTCAGCCACTTTCAGCATGTATGTAGATCACTCAGCTTTGGCATGAAAATAATTCATTGTTTTATTTCCTTTTCTTTATTCTAAAATGCAGCTGGCATAATT